CCTTGTTTGTGTTAGGCAAATGCTGTATTTAGAAGCTACAAGCCCAGGCCTTAGTCATTAATTTAGAATTGTAAAATCAAAGTTACCAATAAGAATATAAATGTTTTTTTTGTAGCACAATAGTTTTCAGTAGAATCATGTATTTCTTTTCCCCACTCTTTGGTTTTTAATGCTGGAAACCATTAAGAAAATCTCAGAGTTTTTTCCCTGGATGAGAGGAAGGAGGGAGCAGATGCTGTTGCTGTGACACTAAGGGTAAAACTCCAAGTTAGGGATGAGTAGTTTGCTCTAGCCTCTTGTATGAATTCCACATGACTGAAGTGAATAGACTCACCGGCTAATGAATAGATGGGCTACTGGCCGGAAGCATTGGCTTTCAATTTCCCTGACCTGGAAACCTGGGCATTCCACTGTAGGGTAATAAACAAAGAGTTTAATGTTGGATTTTTTTAAACTATATTTGAATGTTCATTTAGTGTTCTTTCACCAAAAGTGTATTTTCTTGTCTCATTCATCCACTGATGCACTGGATTATGGCAAAATGCCATAATGTTTAAAATAAAGAATACTTATCCACAGAAATTGCTAGGTGACATAGCCATGAAATATAGTTTATTTTCCTTTATTTATTTATTTTTGCTTGTTTTTTGTTTGTGAGACAGGGTCTGAACTGATGAACCTTCTGCCTCAGCCTGCTGACTTCTGAGATTGAAGACATGTGACACTAGACCTGGTTCCCATGATGCAAACTCTTTTGGGGTTTTTCCCTGGCTTTGCATTTCATGTCTGTGTAATAGGGTCAAGGATGTTTTATTTCAGATTCCCTGAAGAAATGAAGAGGAAGGATGATAAAGCAATTATAGGTAGCATTTAATGAGCACAAGCTGAGTACCAGGGTTTACAGCACTATGTTCTGTACTTTGTGTGATTTAATCCTGGCAGTCATCTTATGTGGTTGGTACTATCTAAATGTTCCCATTGCACAGAAGAAGAAACTAACAAGTGTCTGATCACAAAGGCCCTTTAACCACTATAGCCTTGTGGTCAGGCTGGTGTACATTGTTCATTTTCCCCCTCTCCATGTAGTTTGTGCAGAGTCTCTAACATGTACAGTTTTAATAAACTTAGTGACAGATTTGCCTCTTCAATATGGCCATGGCAAAGCCTTATGAGAGTTATTCAATAGAAGACAAGATTCACTTATGCCAGCCATGCAGACAGTTCTTGCAGTCTTACCTGCTCTATCCTGCCAGGTGGAAGGCCACTCCCCTGCGGTACTCAGGCCACTTTGCGCCCTCACCAGAAGATTTCACCAATCCCTTCTCTGATCTTTTTTGGCTCTAGGGAAATTAAGGCTACCTCTTATGATAGGTCAAGGGCCTTAGGTCTAAGGGGTATTGAATAAAAGGTAAGTGTACAGCAAGCTGCTTTGAACAAAAGTGATGGGATGTGGGTTGGGAAGAGGGACCCATTGTCAGCTTTTAGGTGTTTAAGATAGGATCTTAGATGTAATATGGGTGGACTTTTGTTGCTAATCTGAATCCATGTAAGAAGCCTAAGGTGCATCTGTGTCTTGATCACCAAAATAGTCTACGCTGTTAAGAGTGAGATGCTCACTGTTTTGAGGGAAAGCTTTTTGTACATGGTCAGCAGAATATTCTGGCAGCTTACTCAGGAAAACCAGTCATATTCTAAAGCGACATCAGCACATAGTAGCTCTAGTTTGTAGTGTTTGCTCTGTCCTGTAATTGCCTAAGGCATAGGAATCTAACATTCTTTCCCTCTCTTCTCCATATTGTTAGATTAACAGTGTGTAGAACTCACAGGGATGACTTGACTTGATAACATGACTAGCCTGACAGTAGCTCTTGATTATGTTTTGAGGCTCTTGGGATGGTAGCTGGTTGTCTTCACTGAATTGCCTAAGTGTGAAGCAGACTTCCAGGAAGGAGGGTTCTGATTTACACATCATTTTCAGCATCATACAAAATTAAGTTATATTTATTTATCCCAGAGATTTACCATGGGAGTTTACTGGGGGTAAAAGCCCATGTTCCAGAAAGTTCAGAAAATAATAGAAGAGTTAAAGGTTTCTTTCAGGGTTTGCAGTACCTTTTAATGTGGTGATGGGAATCATGGGTCAGTACACTCCCCCACAGCATCTCCAGACCTACTTGACCTCAGGACCCTGTTTATCTGTGTTGGAGACCAATGTGTTCTCAGACAGTACGTGCTGAGTGCACAGTCCAGGTCTGCTACCTACCATGGTCTGAACAATACTGTCAACTTCACCTCACTCTCCCTGTCTGTGTAACAATAATACAGTTCATTTGAGTGTAGTGTATGTTTATTGTTATTTATTCAGCCCTGTTTATGAATAATATAGGCTCCCTAAACATTGAGAGTGTAAATTCCAAAGGTCTTGACTTTTCACAAAGAATTTGTCGAAGTAAGAAAGTATCTGAAGTAGAGAATAATATAGAGGTCTAGAATTTGGGGAAAAACTCAAACACATTTTCCAGTTTAAATCATCTGTCTAGTCAGTAAGGCCACAGAGTCATGCTAAAATTAAAATGTTGACTTTGACTAAAGGTAAAGTCAAAGAAAGGGGGAAAACTGAACCAGTGGCAAGAGTTATTCTTGTATTCCTCTAATTTGGACTAGATTGAAGTAGAAAATGTCAAGTTATGAGTAGTGTAGTAACAGACATCAAGCACTGAAAATTCTAGTTTCCTGGATGTATGCTGTGGAAAGAATGAAGTTGGTTGATAATGTCTGGTCTAGGAAGGTGGTGAAGAGTCAGCAGCCAAACAAAAAAAGTGGCTTGGGTAGCAAATTCAAAACAGTACAGCAGATGTAACTTACTCTTTAGGTAAAAAAATATTAAGGCTGTTTTTCTCCAGGTCACAGGTCAACTGGAGGGCTAGATTTGTAAACACCTAGTAAAATGGGCTTTAAGGTGATAGTAGCCTGGCATGGAATCCCAGAAAACGGAGGGGGGGGGGAAGGAGGAAGAGGAGGGTAGATTAGGAATCTCAAATTGAAAAGGATCTTAACTTGAAAGTCTCAGGGCTGGTGAGTCTGCTGGTGCTCCCTCAAATAGGTGTGTGTGTGTGTGTGTGTGTGTGTACACGCGCACATGCATGTACGCAGGGATTCGATGTGCAAGGCTGTGAATGAGCCACACTAAGCAAAAACGGGGTGCTTGACAGCTTGTCTTTCAGCAGCCCAGTGCAAAATGCCTATGGAAAGTAAATACAGGGAGTCCTGTTGTCAAGGCGCACCCCACCCACCCCCTCCATTTCCTCCCTCCCCCAAAGTCGCCCGCATTTCCACCCCCTCCCCTACTGCTGGGGTGAGCCCGCGGTGTAAGTAACCAGAGGACTTCTGACTGTAATCCTAGCACGTCACTTTGTTGAAGGCAAACACGTGGTTCCGAGAGAACTTATAAATCTCTCCTCCCTGCAAGATCGTGATGTTATCTGCTGGCAGTAGAAGGTTCACTCAGCGGAGCTCCTGCAGACCCGAAAGAAAGCTAGAGTTCCAGGAGAGAGAGAGCGAGGGAGGGAGAAGGAGAAGGAGAGGGAGAGGGAGAGGAGGGAGAGGGAGAGAGGGAAGGAGAGGGAGAGAGGGAGAGAGGGAAGGAGAGGGAAAGAGGGAAGGAGAGGGAGAAGGAGAGAGGGAAGGAGAGGGGGAGGAAGGGAGGGAGAGAGAGGAGAGAGAACAGAGAGAGAGAGAGAGAGACAGAGAGAGTGCGAGAGCGCAGACCTGGGGCGCCCGGGCTGGCTGCAGAGGGCTGGGGACCCTCGTATAACGGTCTAGGGGGCCACTGTGGAACAAATGGAGAGGCCGCAGTAAGGAGGAGAAAGAAACGGTCTATTTCAGAGTAGCAAGTGCCTACCTCCCCTGAGCCAGAAAAGTGCAGGTGGGCTGGACGCCAGGAGAGGGTGTGGGGGTCCGCGGAGCCCTACGCAGCCCGGGAGGAATAAAGCTCGCCCGCGGCCGCGCCTCCCAGGGGCGGCTTTTGCCGTGTGCAGGGGTGAACGCGGCAGCCCATCCATCCATCCGTCCGTCCGTCCGTCCGTGCGTCCACCCAACGATTGATCGATCCATTTGCCCGTTGCCGGGTCGCCTTTCGGAGCTAGAGGAGAAAGGAGGGCGCAGAAGGAGGGAGCTGGCGGCTGGACACGATCGCAGGCAGTGACAGCGGCGGCGGCGGCGGCGGCGGCGGCGGTGGAGTAGCCGAGCCGATCAGGGTGCGCGCTGGCCCGGGGTGGGGTTGATCACACAGCTCAGGGCTCCTCCGAAGCCGCAGGATTCTCACCGACGACCCTAAGCGCCCCCCGGCCCCCGCCCACCACCTCCGCTCCACGAACAGCACGGGACCGAGTCCGCAGCAGCGCCTGGCCCAAGCCAAGCAGAGCGCATCCGCTTCCCCGGGGCGCGCCGGGCTCACTCCCCAAGGCGCGCACACGCGCGCGCGCGCGCACTCATACACACACGTGTGCGCTCCTGGGTTCCAGCTCTCTGCGCCGCCAGTGGAAGGCAGGGCCGAACCTCTTCACTCCTTTAAATATATAAATTGCAGCCTGGGTCTGCTGCATCCGCGTCCCCTCCTGTCATTTCGCCAGCTGCCAGCCCCGGAGACCTTTTTCCATCTCTTGGCTTTTGGCTTGAGGAGCCGAGAGTTCAGATCCGCCACTCCGCATCGGAGACTGACACACTGAACTCCCATTCTTCCTCTGAAATTTATTTCTGCCTAATAGGTAGCTCCTCGCCTGTTTGGTTTTTTTCCCCCTCTCTCTCTCCGCATCTCATCGTTCCGGGGAGGGGGGGAAACAAACTCCGAACTCCCCACAGTCCAGACTTGCCCTGCCCATCCCACCTCTGCTCACTCGTGGAACGACCTGCGTGGGTTTGGTGGGTTTTTATTTTTGGTGTTTTTTTAAAAAAGGAATTCAAAGATACATTTTTTTCTATTGGGCATCGACTCTTGATTGTTTCAAACGTTTCCTATGAAAAACAACTCCACCTGATCAGTAGTTCTCTCTTTTTTTAACTTAAAAAAACTTTTCAAACAACAACCCAACAATAACCCCCCCCCCCAAAACCATGCATTACTGTGTGCTGAGCGCTTTTCTGCTGCTGCATCTGGTCACGGTGGCGCTCAGCCTGTCTACCTGCAGCACACTCGATATGGACCAATTCATGCGTAAGAGGATCGAGGCGATCCGCGGGCAGATCCTGAGCAAGCTGAAGCTCACCAGCCCTCCGGAAGACTATCCTGAGCCCGAGGAGGTTCCCCCGGAGGTGATTTCCATCTACAACAGTACCAGGGACTTGCTCCAGGAGAAGGCCAGCCGGAGGGCAGCCGCCTGCGAGCGCGAGAGGAGCGAGGAGGAGTACTACGCCAAGGAGGTGTACAAAATAGACATGCCGCCGTCCTACTTTCCCTCGGAAAGTAAGTACCGTTTGTCACTACCACCCCCGGGGGCTAGCCGGTGGAAACTCTCAGAACCGTGAGGAAGGTGTGTGTGTGTGTGTGTGTGTGTGTGTGTGTGCGCGCGCGCGCGCGTGCGGGGAGGGGGTGTAGGGTGGGGTAGGGTCACCTTTCCCTCTCCTTGTCTCAATTCACTCCTTTCCCGGTCCTCTCCATCCACCTCTTTTCCAGTCGTGTGCTGGAGACTGCCAGCCTTTGAAAAAGCTCACTTTTTCTTTTTTTTTCATCTCCCTTCCCCCAACCTCCAGTCCTTTGAAAGGTGCCCCCCCCTCCACCTCGGTCCCCGCATTGACTCTTCCCTGACTGTCTTTTGCGACTTGCAGTCTGTCCTCCTGTATTAAAACCCAAGGGCAGTTAAAGTAGGAAATCCCTGGTTTTCTTTGCCTCTTTCTCCCGAGGTGCATTGAACTGCTGCAGAAAGGGTTAAAAAGTAATTCCAAACCAGTTTCTCCAAAAGGCCCCCTTTCTCTTGCAGACCTATCAGCTGGATTCCCCCAAACCTTCCCTATTGTCTCTCACCCCCTAAAGGCATCAGCATCACAGCCCATCAAAGCCTGGTTGGAGTCCCCCACTGGAGGAAAAAAAAAATCAATCCTGGGTATATCTGTTGCCTTGGTAGGTGATTATGTTCCCCCAAGGCTAGCTCTTATAACCACATTCCCCCCTTTAACATCATCTCCATTACAACCTCCGTGCTGACCAAGTTTAGGGTTTCATTACTTCAAGTTATACTTCTTAGAATCCACCTAAAGCTGCCTTCTTAAAAAAAAAACAAAAAACGATCTCCCCTCTCCCTTCCACTATGTTGTTCGTCCTTTTCAACTTTGACTTTGCATTTCTATCCCTTCCTTAACTTTCTGCGGGGACCTCGGTACCTTCTTGTATGTGAAAGAGGAAAGACAGCTGATTTTTAAATTATGGTTATTGTCGTTGTTGTTGTTTCTGGCTCCTGAGTCTGTGTCCTCAAAAACCAGCTGGCCTTACAGTAGCCATGGGAGTGAAATGATTTATTGTGGAGTTCTTGTAAGGAGAGGGAGGGCGAAGGAAGATGGACAGTGTAGAGTTAGTTCAGAGTTCTTAATAATAATAATAAAAGAATCGGCAGCAGCAGTATCCAGTAATACCTGAGAGGGTTAAATACCAGGAAGAACTAAAAGAAAAAAAAATAAAATCTGCTTCAACACTTGTGTATTCCAAGTCCTGTGTCTTAAACTTTTCATTGGCTGCCTGTTTCTCTCCTCCCCTTCCCATGCCCTATATACTTGCTGGCTGCTTTTGTGAAGTCTCTGTGACTTACCTAAATAGATAATACAGCCATCTTGGTAATTTTAGCCTAGAGGTTTTAATTGCAGGGTGGTGCTTTTCTTTTTTAATATTTATTTTTAGTTTGACAAGTCATAACTATGTGACTTGCCATGTCTTGTGCCTGATGGCCGAGGAATGTGGGCCCATGTGCCTAACTAACCCCAGTTTTTCTGGCCACCTTTCTTTTGCTGTATTGTCTCTTCTTTTTGTCCAATGGCACTGTGGATGTATGGAATCCTGGCCAGAAGGATGATTTTATCACTGTAATTATGGCACTATTCAGAATAGTCCTTGGTTAAGTGCACTCCCACCCAGTTATTCTCCACCGCTCTTCCAGAAGTCAAGTTTTCTATGTGGACTAGAGCCAAGGAAATATTAGGAAAGAAGCTCATTGTAATTAGGCCAAAACCATTGAGGCTGAACAAGGAGAGTTGAATCACTTGGCTTTCTCTAGCGTGCACATGGGTTCTGTTGATATTTGGACAGACAGGCAGGTATGTTATGCAGGACCTGAATAGCATCCTTTAATGGTTGCGTGCAAAAGATCAAGTAGATTGCCAGGGTGTTGGCAACACAGGGAGGTCTGATCTCATTATTGTATAGGAAGGAGAAAATCACTCTCAAAGGCATTCATTCCTCATTCTCAGTTTGAAAGAGGAAGATAAGCTGAGACCTGGCATTGGCATTATGAACAAATTGGAAAACTTCCCCACACTATTAGTAAGATTTCAAAGGATGGCATCTAAGATCAGAGTGTGGATCAGAGTAAATTAAAACCTCTGATAAGCCTAGAATAAAAACATATACACTCAGTTGTTGATAGGCACTCCAGGAAGCCAGTGTTTAGTGTGGAAGCTTGGGAACAGAGAGCTTTATTAATAGTAGATTCCATATAACAATGTAAAGACTATGCAGAAGTTTATAGAAACTAGGCTAACTGATTTCTCAGCACTTTCTAATTGTACTGGAATTTAGTGGACTCTTTCAAAATAAGGGGTAAGGGGAAGAAAAACAAATTCACCCCATCATATTTTTGAAAGCAAATTGAAAGTGCAACCTGGATTTCTATTGTTATTAACCCTTATGAGGGACTGCCTAACTTTGAACTCAGTTCTCACCGATTTGGGTACAGGGAAGTAGCTTGCATGCCTTGTCATTTCTTACAGTGAATTAGGCCAGGGTCATAAGCTCCAGAGATGAAGGCATGGGAAAGATCAGTGGTTCATTTTTTTTAAACCACCAACTTATTAGTGTTCAGGGAGTGGCTTTAGCTCAAGTATTACAAATATGCTCTAATTATACTCAATGAGCTATATATCATTACCAATTGCTGATAGCCCTTTCTGGGGACATTTTATAAAGTTCAGACTAAATATTTTTAGCAATGTGGAGATTTAAAAATAAAAGTATAGAGATATTGTATATGCCCTCAGGCATATTTTGTCTTAAATATTATCCTTGGCCAAATGTGCTATATAAATACTGTAAATATGAATAGAACTGGCCAGGTGCCAAGCTCCTAGTATGAATTTTAGTCAAGAATGTATTTATGGGATATAAATAATACTGTGTCAACATTTAAAGAAGGGGTCTGATTAGTTTTGAATTTATTCATATTGATCTTTTTACATGCTGTTAGTTTAAGACTCAAAGTGGAGTTCTGGTGATGTTTCCCAATAGTTTGCCCAATGGGAATTAGTGGACTTTGAACAGTTGAATTTCAAGACACATTGACTTAAACTGCACAAGGTTTTAGAAATTCAGAGAGAACAACTTTATAGGAAGAATCCAAATAATTGAAATTTAAAACCTATAAAGCTGAGGACAGTTAAAAAATGTTTTCATTCTTCTCCTTGGCAGTGCTAGGGATTGAACCCAGAGCCTTGTCTATTCTAGGCAAACAATGCTAATACTGGGTCACATCCCCAATCTTGATTTTTCTTTTTTAGATCTTTCTCATTGTGTATGTTCAGACTGCCTCCATCTCCTGAGTACTGGGATTACAGGTGTATTCCACCATACCTGTGTTCCTCACCCCTTTTCTCTACAACACAGTTGGCATGTAGTGTAGTTCTAATTACAGTGAGTTAATGCTATACTTTCCTCCCTTTTACCCCACCCCATCACCTCCACTAGGACAGTTGGCAGGGTCTGCAAACATTTTTGGCTATTAGGACTAGAAGGGGAGTGATTCTACTGGCCTTCTTTGGGTAGAAGCCAGGAATGTTTCTATCCATTTGAGGTGTGTTTAGAACAGCCCTCCTCCTTCCCATGTACCAATTTTACCAAAGAATTATCCAACCCCAAATGTCAATAATGCCCCTTGTGAAGAGTGCTGGTATCTTGGTGGTTATCTTGGGTAGATGAAATCTCTTAGCAGTGTCATTTTAAGATATTTAAATATTTAAATTTAGGTTTAATATCTAATAAAGATTTAAATATCTTTATGGTCAAATGATATTAGAATGAAAATGTTAGGAGAATAATCAGAAAGTTCAGTTCTTTAAATATAGTATGGATGATTCAGTAGGGTCTATATAGACTATTCTTGTGACCTTAATGAATTTCTCATTCAGTTAGTGTCAGTTAATGATGTTGGCCCTTTCATTAGGGGCTTTAGTCAGTAGCAGTGATATTAGCCAGCATACAAAAAAAGGAAATGAAGAATTATCTTGGATTTTCCTTTCAAGTAAAATAAAATAAGCAGTGTGAATTAATGAAGAGTGGAATCCCTATTCTAGGCAGGCAAAGATAGTGAATAGTTATGTTGGTTTATTCTATCATATCAAATGAGATAGATTAAATATACAGCCTGGAAAATCACCATGAGGTTTTCCTTATAACTTTCACACGAATGCTAAACATTTAATACAATACAATGATAATTATCACTGCAATCTCCTTTTGTATTTCCTCTATGATTTTCCAAGTGAATTTGTGGGGTTTCAAATGACTAGCAACGGCATTATGGTTTGAGAATCGTGCCTTAGTATTCTATTCATGAATATGTCTTTCTGCATACAAATTGCTGGTCTATTGGACCAATTTCCAAATGGAAAGAAATATGAGTAGGATGCAATAGTAGTGCTTTCTGTACAATTTTTATTTTGTAGCTTAAAAATAGATTATGTCTTTGTGAGAGTGTAAGAAATAGAAAGCGCATAGACAGAAACAGTAAAAGAGATATCAAAAACAGAGTTAGTTGACTTCTAAAATTGACTTCTTAATATACAACAGACCAATCTCTCTATTACCTCAGAGCTCATCCTACCTCTAGTGCCTAGTTGTGGTCACATTTACTTTGGCCACATTCTCTCCCTTCAGCATCTCCCTTTTTAATTTTTGCTTTTCATACTAGAGGGAAACCCTCAAAGGAAATAGATAGCTTCAAACTGAACCAGTTCGTGTTTGCTGCCAAGTGAAGCCCATCAGCCTCATCTGTCTCCTGAAGAGACTCCACCTGAAAGAGGGTGGAGCTTCCTGTGTCCCCCAGTGATCCAGCGCCACACACAGGCGCTGCACCTCGTGAATAGTGACTTCTCCCTGCTGCAGACCCACTAATGTAACCTCCTGCTTCCCTATAAAGATATGAAAGGATGACAGATCCGTGTTCCTAGAGGAAACAGAGATGGGAATAAAGAACTCATGACTCACTG